AGCCCTAACCATTCTATGATTCTATGAGTCAAACTTACTGTCCTGCTCTCAAGCTTGTTCGGTTGCCTTTTGGGCATCAGTTTGACTCTTGGGCCTCATTAACTATTTCTGCTGTGGTATTTGCACTGCTCGATTCAAAAGAAGAAAAAAAAAAAAAGGCAGTTTTGTGTAGGCCAGGTACAAGAATCCAGGACTGTGCTGCAAAATGCTAATTCCAGTGGTAGGTGAAGCCAAGCATAAAGGAAATAATAAACGGATGTGAGTCACCAAATGTAGAGCACTGGAGCCCTCGCTGCAAAGGGACACAAGGGAGATGATGGGGTGTTAGCAGGAAGATGCAATTTACGGGTCGGAATGTAATGGTAACCTTTCACTGGGAAAATTGAAAATTAACCTCGCGAGTGTTGGATCCTTTACAGCTCGTGTGGTACTTTTAGTGAAGAAGAAAAATCTCTGAAAAGACTTCCTGTGATTTTTGAGATTTTTAAAGTGGTGCTTTTCAAAGGGTGTTCTTTTCTCTAGCTGCATCTCGTTGTGTTTTCAGTCGGTGATGCCTAAACAGATGGCACCACTCAGGTTTCTTAGGGGTTCACACAATTTTTTTCTTTCCAATTTTAAATTTTCATAGAAGCTACAGTGATTTACTTGCTTTGGGTCAAGTTCTTAGTGAGCATTAGTCATCATGTCTGTTGAAGTTACCTGGGGATTTTACTCCTTGCATGTCTTTTATCAGACTGATTTTTATTTTTTTTCATCTTACCTGACATTAACGCCAGAGGCAGCTTCCATAAAAATCATGTGAACTTCATTATAGTTACCTTTCCAGTAATTTAAAAATCTGGTTTCTAATAATGATTAGCATTTGGAAAAATAAAAATAGAATTGAGGAGGAGAATTTTTTTTGTTTGTTTAATCAGAAACTTCCCATTCAGGTATGGAATAGGGCTTGTATATAAACTAACAGCAAAGCAGTGTTCCTAAAGTATTAATTTTTTGAAGGAAAAATCACGGCGGTGGTGACGAAAAATATCTAGTGCCTTATTTTAAAGCATAACAGAAGAAAGTAGAAGGTAGGTATCACGGGCATTAAAGCAGCAAAATTTCAACAAAAAAAGTGAATCTCTAATGTGTGCATTTAAGCTGCCATGTAGTTGTGGCTAATAGTGATCATTGCGTAACGCAGCGTTTCTGGGTGTGTAAAAGGGACTTTCACAAGCATATTTGTGGGGTGCACAGCTGTTTTCTTGGTTTCCATCTCATTTGATATGGTAAGAAGTCAATTATATTATTGCTGAAACAAAGTAATAAAACGATGCAAGTGAACAAAGTAAGCTAAAAGTAAGATCCTCTGCTTATCTATTTACTACCTGTTGCAGCATCTCAAGTTGCGTGTAATTGTAGATCTAATAAAATGTTTTGGATGGAAATAACTCCCAAAATCTTTTACTTACATAGTGGTGTCATTGGTACAGAAATTGTATTCTGGTTTTGCATAATTTCGCTGAATCGTTTAAGTGTCATTGAATATATATGTTTGTTTTATTGGAACTGTTTGTTTCTGAACAATGTATTCTGAATACTTCAATTGCAGGAATAAGTTAAATTGAGTTTTTATATTCTTTGTAAGAATTTTTGTAAGCTTTCTGAAGGAAAATACTCATTTGATGTATTAAGATTTTGTACCCAGTCTACTGCTATTCACAGTCTTTTTTTCCTAGATTCTTGGAAGAGTTTAGACTTCTACCCTAGCAACAGTTGTTTGGCTTTAGCCTAATTTATATAGCAGAATAATAGACCTTTCACATTTAAACATGTCTCCTTTTCCCTTTTTTTCCTTTCTATAGGTGGCTTTGGTGCAGTGGACAGAGAGTGTTGGTCTCACTCTGGTTAACAGGGATTTGACCTCGATGCAGCTGAAGACTCCTGGTGGACACATTCTGACCTACTACATTCTGCAGATCTTTCCCTTCACTTCTGAGAGCAAGCGCATGGGGATCATCGTTAGGGTAATTTTGGGGGTGTTCTGGGCGGTGGTTTTTATTTCTCAGAAAATGTTTTTAGTGATTGTTGTTTTTTATAAAATGTAACAGAAAATTGATCCTTTGGGGAATGTGTTTCACAAGGTTTTCAAATGGAAGGGGGCCCACAAGAACGCTGGAGAGGGACTTCTGACACAGGCATGTAGTGACAGGACAAGGGGTGATGGCTTTAAACTGGAAGAGATGAGATTTAGATTAGATCTGAGGAAGAAATGTTTTACACTGAGGGTGGTGAGGCACTGGAACAGGTTTGCCCAGAGAAGCTGTGGCTGCCCCATCCCTGGCAGTGTTCAAGGCCAGGTTGGATGAGGCTTTGGGCACCCTGGTGCAGTGGAGGGTGTCCCTGCCCATGGCAGGGGGGTTGGAACTGGGTGATCTTTGAGGTCCCTTCCAACCCAAACCATTCTATGATTTGAAAGTATGCCTTTAACACGGGTGCACATGAAATAGTAGGCAAGCAATTGTAGAAAAATCAGACTAACCTGATGCTGCAGAGAGCTTTATAAAGGACAAACTCTTCTCTTACGTGGGAACATGCTAATTTCACTACTTCCCACTTAGCCTCCGGCCCTGCAAGTTGCCTGTAAGCCTTTGTTTTTAATTTTCCATTTGTTTCTTTCATACAAGATATGTTGCTTCTTCAAGGGATAAATTAATTACTGAACTTTCTTACAGTGGTAGCTCGTGTCTTTCCACTGGTGCTGCTGCTTTTCCAGAGGCAGCACTGATGTCCGAGCTGGTGGGCATACCCAGCACAACCCACTGGGTCTAACACTGACGAGATACATGCTTAGTTGTCTCCTGGATGCCCAGTTGGGAGCATGATAATGATCATTAAAACCTCAGATGAAGGGAAGCCACACCACCATGCTAACAGGAAGGTTTAAACCTCTGCAAATGTCAAGCCATCCATGCTACATATTTCTACCTTCTCCCTACTCAGACCTGTTGTGGATTAGATAGCACATGCCACCAAAAAACCAAAATAGTAGTTAGAGGGGGCGTGATAGTACCTCTTGGCAAGGTACTTCATCTTCTCTAAATGATAACCCATTGACTACTTCAAAAGACAATGAGGTTATTGGTAGCTAATTGTTTTGACTGTATAAACAGATTTTTTTTTTTTTCCCCTTTGTTTCTTTTGTAAAATTTTAGGATGAATCTTCAGGAGAAATTACATTTTACATGAAGGGTGCGGATGTTGCAATGTCCGCTATTGTGCAGTACAATGATTGGTTAGAAGAAGAGGTAAGAAAAAAAAAATCAGAAATGATAAAAATTAAAGTTTTGTAAAAGCTACAAATTTAAAATCAAAATATTAGATATTATTGGCATAGGTTTAAAGGAGAACCTGAGCCAATGCAGTAATGGGTTTTGAAGTTCAGTTATGTATCTCCTGAATGGGTTTTAAGGGATTAGAATTATTTCCAATTCTTGAATAACTCACAGGAAAAGCAAAGCTGGTAGTCATCGCAGAACACATTCCTACTTAAAACAAGGAAATTTGTTTTTCATTGACTGACCTTTCACATAAAACCTAATTACTTCTGAGAAGTATTCTGCTATTAACCTATTTATCCCGAAATGCCCTTGTTTTATCAAATTCTACAGTGAAGTATGATTATGAATTACAAAGTTTAATAAGGGTTGCAGCTGCATTGCAATAGGTTTTTTTGCCACATTTATTAATATAAAATAGCTAGTGACTAAATTTCAAAACTGATTAATATTTTTCACTGCGTGGCTCTAGTGGGTACCAGCAATCATCGTATTTTGACCCTACATACAGACAATATGTTAATACAATGATTACACCATGTATGTTCATAATGGTATTGGCAATATGAATCAATATCTGCTGCAGGGTAGTTTGATTTATTTGGGGACATGAATAAATTAAACTCCCTCAAGACCTAGCAAAATGTCATAAAAATTACTTTTGGCGATAATGATGCACGATTAATTGTAAAATACTTGTTTAATTTATTTAGCTTTATGAGGTCAAATCAATAAGTGTTTTGCACTGGACAGCCTTGTTTTTCATTAAGACGTGCTATTCCATGGCTGTTTTTAATGCGTAGATATTTTCTGATAAGAGGTACGTTGAGTGGAAAAGAAAATGTAGCTCTGTTATGTGCCCCAGAAATAGTTTTAATTTATTGTAAAGCTTCAACCTTAAAAGAGATTTTCTTTAAGCTAGGAGAGGAAATCTAATTGGCTTACCAATAGCATACCACTTCATTTGGGGGACTTGAAGTATAATTGCTTTTTATTCTGTTTGTGGTTTCTCCAAAATAATCTAAGAGTCTAAAGAAACACCAGAAGTTATGGTACAGATATCCCCTGTTAGCATATGGTGTAAAATGTGCACATGTGGTTGAATATTTGCATAACTCTTCTGTGCTTTCACCCATTTAGTGTGGTAACATGGCCCGAGAAGGACTGCGTACGCTGGTCGTTGCCAAAAAATCTTTGACTGAAGAACAGTATCAAGATTTTGAGGTATGAAGGGACAGAGTGATCTTGTGCTTTACCACGGTCAGTTACTTCCAGGGGAACGTCCCTGTTTTCTGTTCTATTAAGGCGGCAAAAAAGATGGTTCATATTTAGAATATTGGTAGTTGAGGAATGGCACACAACCTGTGAGAGATTTTGTCATTCGTTACTCGTTGGTCTGCAGTCATACATACTGATTTTGCTTTGTTATGTGACTGGGCAGTGTTTTCCCAGAAGCTAGCGTAATGTTAATTCTGTAGCTTCAGCATGACCTAAAAAAAAAACAACCTACTTGTTCTCAAAGATAAGGGCAGTTCCTGCTTTGATGCTGCGATGCTTCATTCTTCATGGTTCTTCAGAAGGCATTCTTTTGAGGTGATGTGTCAGAAGAAGCATCTGTAACGTTGGGTGTAAAGTAAAACACACACTTTTAATCTTGTTCTTCATTGAAGATACTTAAAGACAAACATTTAACCTAAGGAATCCGTATTGTAACTGCTTGGTTGCTGAATGTACACTTTGAGTCACAGCAAACTCTAAGGGGTCTTGTCTTTGTGCAAACAGAGTCGGTACAACCAAGCAAAGTTGAGCATACATGACAGAAACCTCAAGGTTGCTGCTGTTGTAGAGAGTTTGGAGCGAGAAATGGAATTGCTCTGTCTCACTGGAGTGGAAGATCAGCTGCAAGCAGATGTTAGACCAACTCTAGAGATGCTGAGAAATGCTGGAATAAAGGTACTGACCGCATACTGCTGACATAACAGGTTATCATTTATTCACTTTTTTTGACAAGACATGAATTATATTTGTCTATATGCAGGTTCACTCAAAGTAAGAAACGTGCCAAGTCCTAAGCACGTTCTGGGCACGAGCTGGCAGAAACAAACAAGACGTTGTGTGCAAAGTTCTCTTGTCCACCACAGGTTTCATTGATCTTAAGCTTCTTTCTGTAGAAAAAACTGCCAATGGATAGATGGATGCCACTCCCAGTCATTTCTCCCCTGTCTGAGCAGCCAGCTGTCCTAGGGTACAGCTAGGGGAGGTTATTTTGCTTTGCAGCAAACATGAGAAATCTCCCTTTATGTGAGAGTGGAGAGGGAATGCCTTGGGACAAATGATGAGCCAGTTGGGAATTTATGGGTTAGAATTAGTCATAAGAGCAATGTGGACAACATTATGGTGAGCGTCCGCTGTAGACTGCCTGGTCAAGAGTAGTAGAAGAGACCTTCTTCAATCAACTGGAAGAAGCCTCACGTTTGCACTTGCTGGTCCTTGTGCTGGACTTTAACTACCCTAGTATCTCCTGGAAGGGCAACAAAGGAGGGCACAAGCAAACCAGGAGAATTTTGGAGTGCAGTGACAATAATTTTCTGATGGAGGCGATTGAGTAGTCAGCAAAGAGAGATGCTCTACTATGCCTCGTACTAACAATCAAGGAGGGATGTGAAAGTTGGTTGAGGGGACTGCCTTGGCCACCCACAGCAGTTATGAGAAGGTGAAGTTCAGTAGGCTCAAGGAGGTCTTATTAATATCTCTAAATACCTGAAGGGAGAGTGCAAAGAGGACAGAGCCCTGTTTTCAGTGGTGCACAGTGAAGGCACAAGAGGCAATGGATGCAAGCTGAAACAAAGGAAGTTCCACTGGAATAGAAGAAGGAAGTTTTTACTGTGATTGCGTTCTGTCGTGGTTCCCTCACTCCTCCCCCTACTCAGTGGGATTGCAAGGAGACACTACAACCAAGGGTTTGTGGGCAGAGACAAGGTCAAGGGGAATCACTCACCCATTACAGTCACAGGCAAAACAGACTGGACTTGGGGGAAAAAAATAAGTTTAATTTGTCACCAATCAAATCAGAGTAGGATAATGAGAAATAACTCCAAATCTTAAAACCACTTTCCCCTACCCCTTCCTTCTTCCCAGGCTCAACTTTGCTCCTGGTTTCTCTACCTCCTCCCCCTGAGCAGCACAGGGGGGCACGGAATGGAGGTTGCGGTCGGTTCGTCACACGTTGTTTCTGCTGTTCCTTGCTCCTCAGCGGGAGAGGGCTTCTCACTGTCTTCCCTTCCTCCTGTCCCTCCCACAGGAGACAGTCTTCCACAAACTTCTCCAATGTGAGTCCTTTCCATGAGCTGCAGCTCTTCACGAACTGCTTCAGCATGAGTTCCTCCTGCGGGGTGCAGTCCTTCGGGAACAGACTGCTGGAGTGCGGTCTTCCCAAGGAGTCACAGCTGCCTTTGGGTGCAGCCACCTGCTCTGGTGTGGGGTCCTCCCTGGGCTCAAGGTGGATCTCTGCTCCACCGTGGACCTCCATGGGCTGCAGAGGGACAGCCTGCCTCACCATGGTCTTCACCACGGGCTGCACGGAAATTTCTGCTCCAGTGCCTGGCCCCTGGCCACCTCCTTCCCTTCCTTCTTCACTGACCTTGGTGTCTGAAGGGTTTTTTCTCTCACATCTCACTCCTCTACCTGCTGCAGGTTCCACAGCAGTTTTTTTTCCTTTCTTAAATATATTATCACAAAGGCGCTGCCACCGTCACTGATCAACTTGACCTTGACCAGGGGCAGGTCCAGCTTGGAGCCGGGGAAGCTTCTAGCAGCTTTTCACAGGAACCACTCCTGTAGCCTCTCCCCCACTACCAAACCCCTGCCACCCAAACCCAGTACATGTTGGAGCACATCTCCCAGAGAGCTCGTGGAGTCTCTGTCCTTGGGGATGTTCAAACTGTAGCCTGCTGCAGTTGGTCCTGCTTTGAGCAGAAGAGTTGGACTAGATGACCTTCAGAAGCCCCTTCCCATGTCTTCTATTTTGTTATCCTGCTTTTAATTAATCCCTGTCCCCCAGGGGCTTTCAGGTGAAGTAGCTGGTAATGCAGTAATGCACAATTAGAAAAATATGCGGATGGATTAAAGCCTTGCAATTACATCACATTTCTTTTTAGTACAGTGTGACTGGTGCAAAGTACTCATTTGCTCTTGATATTTCTTCTAGATGTGGTCACTTCTGACTGGTAGGTATATCCTGCTAAAAATAGAGAACAGTGTGACAATTTTTAGGTTGTTGGGGTTTTTTTTAATGATTGATTCTCGTATTTCAGAGCATTAAAACTGTTCTGGCTTTCATTACGACCAACATTATAGACTGGGAACACAATAGTAGCTGCAGATAAGTCATAAAATTATGGATTACTCTCTGATGAGAAAGCGTGAGTCTTTTTTCTGTTCATTGACCCACATGGACTCTAATGACAAGGGTTTTGCCTGAGATGTGCAGGAAAAGAGGGAGTGAGAGGCTTACAGCTTAATAAAAGTGCAACTGTTGACTTGGTAACTCTCCAGTAATAACTCCTGCAGCTGAAGTCATTCTTCCTGTGTGATCTGTCCTGTTTGGGCTAGGGCTGATGGCATTTCATCCAGATGTCCTTCAACTTTCTCGGTGTTAGGGGGCTGAGGGAGAGCGAGCTGTCTCACAGATGGGTCCTCAACTTTATTCCTTAAACTTGAATGCCTTCATCCCAGTTCTGCATGGTCTCTTTGGATCTCTTTGGGACTGTAGCTCTTCCTCCAGGATCTGCTGTCTCCTTGCTTGGCTGCTGCTTCCTGATAGATTCTCACTAGGTTCAGACCGTTGTGTCGCATTGTTTTGTTGACAAATGTTCTCTCTCTTGGAGTTGTCTGCGTCCTTGGTCCTTTGATGAAGGTAGTATCAGGGCCACAGGGAAGGGCTTTTATGCTTTCCCTGCTGTTCAGCTGTGCCAGTGGATTCCCCCAGAGTTTCACCTTGTCCTCATGTAAATTGAGGCATTGAGCCTTGTGAGAAGGGAAGGGGAGAGGAGCTGCCTTAAGTAAAGATAGTTCTTTTCTGCTTTGTGTGTTATTACAGTATGAATTTTAGTTAAAAATGCACATATCACTATGTTTTCTCTGGTAATCTAATCCCAAAAGGTACCAAAACAGGATTGGAGAGAGATGTCGTTTAGGATTTGGAGAACAGATATTACTATCCAATGGAGTAAACTTTCCCATTATTTTGTAGATATGGATGTTAACAGGAGATAAACTGGAGACAGCAACTTGCATCGCGAAAAGTTCTCACTTAGTGTCTAGGACTCAAGATATTCACATTTTCAGACCTGTGAGTATAGTTCCAACTTTTTTGTTGGTTCATCAAACGACAACTAATAAGAGTGTTACTTTATTTGATTAGTAGTCGGCTCCTTGTTGAAAATTGGGTTATTGTACTGTCATAATAATGGTCAAGAGAGTAGTACTTAGGCTGTTATTCAAGGATGCAGGATTTCAAAGCATTGCTTGTGTTTAAGGGTTCTCGTTTCTACATTTGTTAATAATGCTACATATTATTTGTACATAATGCTACGTATTATTTGTACATAATGCTACAGAAATGTTTGTAGCCATGTTCAGGTGACTCAGGTTCAGCGTGCGTTTCACTTCTACGATGCACGTAGTAAGGTACCTCTTAATAATGATGGAGAAGGATCTATGTGAGGTGCTGAGCCAGTAGGAGAGCGTCCAGGAGTTTGAGATATCTGAACGTGGTTCTTGCTTGTTCTAGGTTTTCCTTAATAGAACTCTTTAGACGCAAGCACAATTAATCCTGAATTAAACTGCTGTTGTGGTTTAACCTAGCTGGCAACTAAACGCTACACAGCTGCTTGCTCACCCTCCCTCACCCCTGGGGAATGGGGAAGGGAATTAAAGGGGAAAAGGGAAGGAGACTCGTGGGTTGAGATAAGAACAATTTAATAATAATAATGATAAAATAATAATATATGAATATATATATATAGAGAGAGAGTAATATATAGAAACAAGTGGTGCACAGTGTAACTGCTCACCACCTGGTGACCCACACCTGCCCCATCCCAGCAAACAATTCCGAAACAGGTGAGTCTTGACACTGCAATCTTGGATGAGTGAGAGGCCAGAAGAGAGAGAGAGAGATTGAACTCAAGAGAGCACCTCTGGAAGAGCCAGAGCTTCTTCCCGGTCAGCCCTCCTCTATATACTGGGCATGATATGGAATACTCCATTGGCCAACTGGGCCCTCAATCCTAAGTCTAAGTTCAAATCATAAGGGGAATTGTGGGCTCTTTGTCCTGGCCATGCTCCCCCTTATCCTGTTGTGCTCCTGCACACTGGCAAGAACATGAGAAGCTGAAAGGTCCTGGAGGTCTCAGTGTCAACCATAAACATCAGTGTGCTGTCAACGTTCTTCTCATAACGAATCCCATCATAAATCCAAAACACAGAGCTCTTCTAGCTGCTAAAAAGAAAAACTAACTGTCCCAGCCAAAACCAGGACAACTGTGATGCCAACGTCCTTTCTGTAGACATAGAATCATAGAATGGTTGGGGCTGGAAGGGACCTTCAAAGGTCGTCTAGTCCAACCCTCCTGCAAGGAACAGGGATATCTCCAACATAGCTCAAATCAGTATGAGAAAATTAGAATTTTTTGTATGTCGTGATATGTATTTGCATTTTACTAACAGGTGGTTTAAGATGACTATTGGAAAGGTAAACCAAGTATCTTTTTCTATACATTTTGGTTTTATTTGCATAGCATCAACTCTACTGAAGTCAAAGAAAAATAGATTTTTTTTTCCAGACCTTGATTGATGCTGTGTGATCAGACATAATATATCTGTGTTTGTTCTAAATGAACCACTTGCACCTACAGAAATAATTATATGAATATAATTTACATGTAAATGTAGTTTCTTCTGAAGCATCAGAATGGCAAATTAGGCCCTGCAGACTACTATTTGCAATTAAATTATTAATGCTTCTGATAAAACTTCAGATCAATTTTTGTTGACCTTTCCATGTTGTAACGCCACAAATTAAGTCTTCCCGAACAAAATCTATTTAGTTGAGTCAGATTTTTATTTCCATTACCTCGGCTGGTAATAAGAGATCGGCATAAAACCGTGTTAACTTAGAGTAGGCAAAGTTTTAAATTAGTTAGAAAGTGGATTTTTTACAGAATTATTTCTCTGGATGTATTTGTTGCAAAGAAATAACTAGTGGATTAGTGTAAGAAAATACCAAGCACTTCAACATTTCTATTTTAGCTGCACAGAGAAGGGTCTTCAGACTGCGTCTGGTTCTGGGTAGTAGTGGGCCAAAGAGAAAATTTCATGTTCAGTGCAGTTAAGACTCCTATATTTTAAAATATATATTTAATCAAAGCGCTGACAGAGCCAAAATCACAAGTTTTATCAGGGTTTGTGGTTTGTTCTGTGCTTGAAACTTTGTCTTGCGTGATAGCTTCAAAATACCTCGATCTTTTATTGGGAAAAACAAAGAAACAAACAAAAAAAACACACCCCAAAAAACCTGTCAATTATCTTAAAATTTGGTTATAATTTAAATTTTTCATGTTCTATGTCCTAGTTCGAAAACTTCCAAAATCTATTTGGTAACCTTTCACCATTTTTTGCGTTTCACAACTGGGTCTTTTTGAAACAATAATGATGTAAATAAAAAAATCTGTTATTTCTTGGTGTTATGCCACTTGATCGTGCTTGCACACTCGTGTGAGATCCAAAAGGATTAGTACTAGTGTGCATTTTTATGTGCCTTTTGAAATCTATGACTGCTTACCCAAATTGAAGGAACTATTAATACCAACATTTTGCATTATTCTAAGAACGTATTTTACTGGTTAATAAATAAAAGTTTGGGGATTTGCTTGGGTTTTTTGTTTATTTTTTTCTCTAGCCCTGCCAGGAAGGAAGGACTCAGGTCAGCTTGAACTTAAGATGTTTTAATGTCATTAATTTGGTAATTTTTTTAGCCCTAATCTGCTTTTGTGAGAAACCAGTTAAGATGACTAACTACATAGATTTCCCTTGTTTGAGGATTATTTTTTTCACTCTGAGATTTGAGGCTTGTAGTCACAATGCCATGGGTATTGGGCTTGCACTGGAATAAAGCACTTGTTGAAGCCTTTTGGGTGTGAGTTCTCAAAACCTGGTTTATTTAGGCAGGGTTTTTTTTAAGGATATAACCAAGTCTCTTAAGTGAGTGTTTTTTATTGCAGGTTACTACTCGAGGAGAGGCTCACTTAGAACTAAATGCCTTTAGGAGGAAGCATGACTGTGCCTTGGTGATATCTGGGGACTCACTTGAGGTAAGAGCTTGGCTTCTGTCAAATGGCATTTATCTGTATGCTTATGTTCAAAAAGTAAAGTATTGATGGCTTCATGCTCTTTAAATTTTTTTCCAGCATTTGTCCATACTTTAAAGTTGTCCTTAGAGATACTTTTGGTTTTCACCAAGTGCTAATTAGAGGATATATGTTCTAGAAGGGCAAGTTTTATTGGTTCTCTGATCTCCTGCATGGTAACAGGATGGAATTTGCATGCAAATTTGTCTCTTCTCTTAGCTCCAAAGCATGTTGGCTCTTTAAGTGAAAGAGAATGTCAGGTTAAAATAATACAGCCAGAGTCAGGAGAATGTGGCTTTTTTCTCCCAGCTGGATGTTGTGCAAGGAAAACTTCATAAAAGTATTTTTTATATTGTCTTTTTGTGTTAGGCTGCCTGTAGTAGTATTTAATCAGAAGTAAATGCCAGTGTCTTTTTTTTTTTTTTCCCTTAGGTTTGTCTGAAATACTACGAGCACGAGTTTGTCGAGCTGGCCTGCCAGTGCCCTGCCGTGGTGTGCTGCCGCTGTTCTCCCACCCAAAAAGCTCATATTGTCAAGCTGTTGCAGCACCACACTGGAAAACGCACGTGTGCTATAGGTAACTGTTGGCACGATCTTGGTTTTTGCAGGAGCTAAAATCCGTGATAAACTTAAGCAGTAGATGGCACCAGTGAGAAATAGTTGAAAGAAAACCAAAGAGAATTCTTTATCCACAGCCAGGTGTTTTGTAGCTGGAGCAGAAAATGCCATTCCGTGAGAAAGGTGTGGTTTATCTTCTTTATTCCACGGGAAAAAGTCTTGATTGCTGAAGTAATTAATCATAATCCATAGATTAACTGTAAGAATTTAAAGGTATGTAAGAGGTTTCTAAAATAGGGTAAGGCCAGGAGAGTAAAACCTCTGAAGAGCTGAATATTGCAGTGACATTTTCCAGGTGATGGAGGAAATGATGTCAGCATGATCCAAGCAGCAGACTGTGGAATTGGAATTGAAGGCAAGGTAATGTTAACAGTTTCATTGTGGAATACATGCCCTACAGTAACATGGGATTAGAACTTTTATTCTGAAACAGTAGCAAATTGATCATTTCTAATTAAAGGATCCTGTAAGATGATAAGAATGCGTAGTCTTTGAGCTAATATTTTCTTTGCTTCTACGTCCTCTGCTTGCTTTTTAAATACAAAAACAAGACAAGCAGAAAACACTACAGTTATTTCTGTGTAGCATTTACCTGAAAGAAGCAGGATAGACAATTAAACTTACTTGTGACAGCCACTGCATCTTAGAAAATGCACAAAAAATTGTCCCTTGTGTCTTGTTGCGAGGTTGATTTCAGAAGCAGGAGCAAACTTGACTTTTAAAATTAATCACCGCTTAGAATTTTGACATGTGAAACACATCTTTTACACTGGATTTCATAGTTGGACTGTTTTTGTTTTGTCCCAGGAGGGAAAACAAGCTTCCCTAGCAGCTGACTTCTCTATCACACAGTTCAAACACATAGGTAGGCTGCTGATGGTCCACGGTCGAAACAGTTACAAAAGATCAGCAGCACTTGGGCAATTTGTCATGCACCGAGGCCTTATTATTTCAACTATGCAGGTATTTAAAACTTTTTTTTTTTTTCTGAATAGTTAAAACCATTCTGTCTGTCTTTGAAATGTCACAGAATCACAACCAGGATTATTTTTTTTCCTATATGGTCATGTTTTCCGTATAGAATTATAGTCACATATGTAATTATCTGCTTTTTGTAGGCTGTATTTTCATCAGTCTTCTATTTTGCATCTGTTCCCTTGTACCAAGGATTCCTAATGGTAGGGTAAGTCCAAACCAACAGTTTTGATATCTGGTGATGAATATAGCAAACTACCTTGTTAAAAAACATCGTGTAGTTGGGGTCTGCCCTGGTTTTCATACATTTATTATTGGCATGCTGCAGAAAGCTGGAATGAGTCTACAAAGAAAAGTCAAACTACGTTGAATGTGCACTGTATGAGGGTGGAAGCCTCCTTATCAGTCCTCTGAAGAGAGGGATCTTCGTAGCCTTAGATGAAGACCCCATATGACTTTTTTCACGTGCAGCGTGAAAACAATAGGGGAAATCTCCCAGACCCCTTCCAGCTGTTACAGAGGTTGCTGTGCAGGCGTCAGTGAGAATCACAGAGTTTTCTCTTAGAAATGGAGCTGAAGCTGATGACTCTGGAATTTCCTGCAAGAGTGAGCTACCCACGCCTGCTCCATAGATTTCTGTTCAGGTGAACGTGTGCAGGATTAGGAGCACCCTGGTCTTCTTGCAGAAGCTGCTTTAGTAACATGGTTCCCCATGTCATACAGCTGAGGGATTTGCATATATTTGTGTTTGTCCCTGCTCTCTGCCCCTTCTGTCCCAAGAGCTTCTTTTTATACTCATGGTAAACAATAGTAATTTAAATTGATAGTAACTTAAATCAGTCAAATCAAGGTGTGGTTACACCAGGCTCTGCAGAGACAAGCAGTAGACCACTCCAAAATGTTTGTAAATAGTTGTGCTAAATGCTGGGATCAAATACACATCTGGCATGTGTATACTGAAATCCAAAGCCACTTCCAGAGCTATTAAGACTTCTCTTCATCCACCTACCCATACCATGACGGCAGGAATATAGTGCTGGTTTTTCCTTCAGGTTTCGTGCCGTTGTCTGTGGATGAATTGAAATGTCAGGTCTTCGAACTGGTTGTCTAAAGTGCAAGTCCACAGGGAGTATGGCGACAGGCAATAAGCTTGGGTGACCTGTATATAGAAGAAAGAAAAATATTTACTGTTTGTCAATGTATAAAAGCTCTCTGACTTCTCACGACTGGCAGCTCTCGGAAGCACGACGGCAGGTTGCATGTATAAAGCTGCCTGGGTACTGGTAGAAGAACCAGTTTAAATCCACTTACACAGAAAGAATAATTGAACTCAGTAGATCAGTTTAAAATCGTGTCGTACAAAAGTGACAGTTTCTGTGCTTTCCTTTCACCTAGGTATGCAACCATATATACTATGTTTCCAGTCTTCTCTCTGGTGTTGGATCAGGATGTGAAGCCAGAAATGGCCTTGCTGTATCCAGAACTTTATAAGGATCTCACAAAGGTATGAATGTCCTCAGTGCTCGGATAGGAACAAATGCTGGAATCTCCAGTGAGCAAAACTGGGAATTCTTACACTCGTTTTCTTGAGGTATTCCATGCAAGATGGGTGCACAATGAATGTAACGCAGACTTTTGTACTCCGAAAATAATCCGTGGTACCAAATCCACTCATTTTCATTAATACGTTTGTTAAGTCACCAGTGGTTGCACTGGAATAATTCAGACGTGAAGGTATGTTGATGTAAAAGTTGCTTTCAGTCTGGACTCAGAATTTCTGCTCTGTGGTCATTTATGATTAGTTTTCCAAAACTCCTTTTTTATTATTTTTATTAAAAATTTTATTATTTTTTATATTTATT